CTCCTCGGGGACCTTACACTCCAACATCCCCTCTGCCGCGTGCACGTTTTCCCGGGGCAGCACCTTGTGGCCTCCTTGCGGCCTGAAGGCCTTCACGCACTCGGCGTGTCCCCTCCGGTGTGCGATCTCCATCGCGGTCAGCCCGCTCTCATTGCGCAGCCGAGTGTTTGCCCCGCCCCGCAGCAATTTGCGCACGATCGCAGCCTCGCCGAAGTAGGCGGCCGCCATGAGCGCAGTCATTCCGTTGCTCGCCCGCGCGTCCAGGGATGCGCCATGCTCCAGGAGCAGGTCGACCATGCCGGGCTGGCCAAAGTTGGAGGCGGCCATTAGCAGCGTCAGCCCGGCAACCGGGCCTTGGGTGAAGGCTGCGCTCGGGTCGCCGCCGTCAGCGAGATAGGCCCGCGCTGCCGCCTCGTTGCCTCTCTGGACCGCCTGCAGGATAGCATCGCGCGCCGGCGCCATTGTTCGCGGGGATGGAGCCCTAGCCCCGCTTGGAGCGAGGAAGGTGAACCCCAGCGCGCCGCGCGCTGTGACACCCCAGGGTTCCGGCTCCTACCCAGATAGGGGGTCTGTTTGCACGGTTAGACCCTGTGCGCGGCTCGATTTAATGGCTAACCTTGGGTAACCTCGAGTAATATGAGTTCGAGTAATATGAGTTGACCTCGCGTACTGTATTCCACGTCCTGACCTAATTAATTAAGCTGCGTATTGTATTCCGCTTCGGGTATTCGTCAGTATTCCAGGAGCGGAGGAAGGCGCGGGCGGCGTGGCGGAGCGTCTCGACTCAGTGTAGTGTACCACCACCCACGCTGTAGATGGATAGGGGAACCAACAGAGCACAGTAGGAAGGGGAAGTGTGTATCGCGCGCCTTGCGGGGGGGGGCGCGGAAAAGGGAAGGGGGGAGAAGCTGTGAGAGACCCCGCCCGCCTGCCCGCCTGCTCTGCCCGCCTGGCCGATAAGATCTCTTCACCTTCTCATTGGTGGAGTATAGGTACGAGGCCAGGGTGGTGTGGCATCTCTTGCGGGTCTCGCCAGGGGCGCCTACCAACCTGCTACCAACCTCGCTTGCGAGGGGCGTGTGGCATGTCTGAACGGACTCGTGAGGGGCGCCTGCCAACCTCGCTTCGTCGACGCGGCGCTTCGTACCCACACACACCCCGCCGCATTCGTCGCCGGCGCGCGACACGTCGGCTGGACTGCCCTCGTCGACTGCGTGTCGCCAACCAAGGCGGGACGCACTCAGGGACAGTGCCGGCGGGACGCGGCTCGAGAGGCGGCTCCCGCGGAGGCACGGCTGGCACCCGTGGCGCGGGGCTCGTCTTCGGAAAGACCAGGATCGCTCTAGGCCACGGCCTCGCCGACCACTATCTTAGTGCGCGGGGTGGCGGGAGGCACTCACCCACTAGCCCGCTCGCCGGCGGCCCACTCACTACGCGCACTATCTTAGTGCGCGGGGTGGCAGGAGGCACTGTATGTATGTATGTAGGAAGGTGAAGAACAGTCAGGCTCGGACTGGACACCAACGCGGTATGGGTGGACGCAAGACAGATGATGACGACACGCACGAGCGACACACAGACACAAACAAGCTCACGAGACACACAGCCAGCGGGCTGCCACACATCCTGAGTGGGCGTACACATCACTCAGGCCACGTCTTAGGGGACCCCTAGGGTTCTGAGGCCCGTATTTTTTCAAGACCTTTTAAGAAACGAGGAGGCCCCAGGGCCCACCCTTTTAAGCCTAGGGGTCCCCTAAGGGCCACGTCCCCCCTGTCGCCCCCCCCAGCACTCCAAGGTGCCAAGAGACAAACAACAGCACAACAACACAGATAGGCGACAGGGGCGAACGTGTGAGACTAGAGCAGGCTTGCTCCGCCTCTAGCAATCTCGTCGCCGGCCGCAAGGCATGGACGAGACCGTGTGTGGGGTCTTGTGAGGTGTCTATGGACTCACCCACTAGCCCGCTCGCCGGCGGCCCACTCACTACGCGCACTAACTTAGTGCGCGTGATAGCCGAGCCCACCTCTCCGTTCGCCGGCGAAGGGCACTGCGAGCGGCCCGCTGGACCACTCCCCCCCGGCCGGCCGGAGGCACTCACTTCCGCACACTAAGTTAGTGCGCGTAGTATCCCGGCCTCCGACCACGACTCCCGGGGGAGCACTTCACCACTTGATCCGCCACGGCGCACCACTAGCCCTCGTCCAGCTCACAGACTAACTTGCGCCGACTTAGTTCCCCGCAGGGCCCGGGAACACTCAGCACCGCGGCATCTTTAGGCGGCCTCGTCGTCGCACACTCACCTGCCGTTCGCCGTGAGCGTGCACTTGCCCATTCGCCGTGTGCCGCACGCCGCCCAAATGCGCGGATCTTTGCCGTCGCCCAAGGCCTCGCGGAGACAGCGCGCGAAGGACGCTGCCTGGAAGCGGCTCCGGCTCGGCCTCAGCCCGCGTGCTGTCGTCCGAGCGGCGAGCCGGACGTCGCCTGTGCTCCCGGCCAAGTCTCTGCGCCAATCAGAGCCGCGGGTGGCGTCGGAGGCGGCGTCCGTAGTGCAGCCTCCGGAGGCGGTGCCGTCCGCGCTGGGGCGAGGGGCCAAGCGGCAGCGGCCCTCGCGGACCGGCGGCCCCGCCCCGACCCGGCCGGCGGCCCAGGCGTCCTCGGCGTCTGCATCGTCGGACGACGACTCGGTCGGCCGGGAGTCGCACGAGAGCTCCTCCGAGGAGCGGCCGCACGCCGCCAAGTCCGCCCGCCCACTCGCCGACGCGTCGACTCGATCCCACACGTGTGCTGCCGCCGCTCCCGCCTCTCCGGGGCGAGCCGCTCCATCCGCGCGGCCGAGGGAAGCTCCGGGGCAGCAGGCGAAGAGGGAAAGGGGGCCGCCGCATCAGCGACGCAATGGGAGCGGGCAAGAGGTGCAGCGGGAGCAGCAGCAGCAGCAGCAGCAGCAGCAGCAGCAGCAGCAGCAGCAGCAGCAGCAGCAGCAGCAGCAGCAGCAGCAGCAGCAGCCAGAGCGGCCAAAGCCAGCCAAGGCTGCCGTTCTGCCCGCTGCGCCGCCCCTGATCCCCTCGCAGACCGCGCGCCTCTCCCCGAAGAAGCCGCCGCAGAGGCGCGCGACCGCCGGCGCGGCTCTCGCTGCGCCCGCCTCGCCGCCGCCCTCCGCAGCTCCGGCTCCAGCGGCAGCGGCAGCCGCCAAGCTGGCGGCGTCTTCCTGCGCGCCAGCTGCGGCCAAGGGGTCGAAGCGGCCGATGCCCGTGCTGCCCCTCGCCGCCCCTCTCCCGG